TTGAGTTTGGAGATCTTAAGGTACTGAACTACTTTACTTAAAGCTTTCAAGTCTGCCCTTGTCGGGGCCAGATTTCCAAGGCCTGCCCCTTTGACTTCCCGCAGCTGAATTTTTCACTGTTGAGAACCTTCCCCCGAGCTTCAAGGAGGCCCACGTAAGTTGCTGCCGCAGCCCCAGGCTCCCTCCGCCCTGGCCTCGGACTCCCCGACACTCCCTCCTTCCACCTCAGTCTTAGAGGGTGAGTGGGAGACCCAGTGCCAAACTTTTTAAAGTCTAATTTTTGGTGGATGAGCTCATTTCATTCTCGAGCGTCTAAAACCTGGTATGAGTTTGGCCGGCGTCATGGAAAGATGCGGTTACTGAGATTTGGGAAGAGGCATGAAGCTGTGCGCGGGTTGGGAGAGACTGGAGCTGGGGGTTGTAAAGTGTTCATTCTAATTGTATACTGATGCCTGGCAACCTGCCTGTAGGACTGAGACAGTCCGGGTTGAGATGTTAGCGTGCTGTGGAATGGAAACGTTGAGGTCACCTGGAGAGCTTTGTCAAGGAGTTGCTCTTTGCTTTCCTTAGCAGGACTGCAGAACGTAAACTGCATTTGAAAACTTGAAGGAGATTTCAGTGTAATGGACTTCCCCAAAATGAAGTGCTACTTTCTGATTTTTTTAATCAAATAATAATTAGACATATATCAGAAACTTTAAAATGTAAAAGTTGTACTTTCAACATATTGCAACTCTTATTCAGCAACACATTCTGAGGGAGGAACAATCCACATCATTAATAACAACCTGGTAAGATGCCAGGAGGTAAAGGAGGTGGAATAATTGATGGGATTAGCTCCTGAAAGAAACAAAATATGGGCATGCATGCTAAAGGGAAACTGTGCAGGTCTGCTGCATTAAATCCTGTGTGCTCCTTTTTGGATTTACAGAAATGTATCAAATGTAAATCTTTCAAAGCCATTTAAAAATATTCACTTTAGTTCTCTGTGAAAAAGATGAGAAAAGCAATCCTCCTGATTGTATTGTAAACTTTAAGAGTTTATCAAAATGCCGGTACTTAGGACCTAAATTTATCTATGTCTGTCATACCCTAAAAATGACAATGGTCTTTGAATTTGGTATGCATTTATTCTGTTCACTATCACAAAATCATCTATATTTATAGAGGAATAGAAGTTTATATATATATATATATAATACCATATTTTTAATTTCGCAAATAAAAAAAAATCAAAGTTTTGTACAAAATTATATGGTTTCTGTGCCTGAAAATAATAGAGTTGAAACTGTCTAAACTATGAACTATCTTTGCATTTTATAGTATCTTGTGGCCAGTCCCACAGTATATAAATTCAGGAATTCAATGAAAAAGCCTATCTTTAAACCTTCGTACCCATCCTTCCAAAGACTTATCCTACTTGCATTGTGATTGACATTGTGAAGTCCCTAGAAAAGATCTGCTTGCAGAACAGTAACAATATAAAATAGAAGTTTGAAAATTATTTCTTTACCCAAAGAAGGTTATTAAAAAGAGAACTCTAATTTTAACATTAAAATTTTTTTTTTGTTTTGAGGGGTAAATTTACATGACTTTTTATAATATGGAGGTTTATTTTTAAATCATCAGCCATCACCTTTGTCACAATTTTTATGAGGTATTGTCTTATATTTTCCATAATCTTGGATATTCCAAAACCATAAACAGGTATTCAATAAACAGTTAACTGACTGTGTTTATAAGCATTTTAAGCAGCAGTAGGGTGTATAAGGTTGTTTTGTTGTTTTGCTTCTGAAGACTCCATTTTTATTTTGTTCTAGGAACATTCTCCAGAGGCATTATCTAGTTGGTCTACTCTTAGTCAGAATTTATATACATGCATATATGTAGAATATATATATTTATATATATATATACACACACACATACATATCTATATATACACATATGTATATATATATACACATTAATTTTTATAAAATAGAGATGCAAAGTTTACTTATACATTTTACAATATGGAAATAAGGTTATGAGAAACAGAAAATGCCAGATGAAAAACCTTAAATACCTTTAAAAAACAAGTCTCTTATTCCTTTACAGACTAAAAATATCTTTATTAAATTTTCCATGAAAACACTGTGTAATAAAATGACAAGCGGCTAAAATGAAGACCATTGATACAATAGACTTACTTTCATGGTTATAAGGCAATTGTCTTATGTCAATATTTTAAGGCAAACGAAAAAGTTAAATCTAATTGAAAATACAGCATTCAGTTTTAAGTACCAAGATGGAATTTTATGTTCTTTTTTTCTTTGTTACATTAATCTAATATAATAGATATCTGAAAAGGTTTTATTGTATAGACACACACAAAATAGCAATTCTTATACCAAATTAAAACACGTCTCCTCACAAGATAATTTGATCAGATAATTTCTGGGGGGGAAAAATTAAGATTATTCTTCTCTATCCATGGAATAAATATAAAGCATTCATATTGTGGGTGTCCTTAAAATGATGTAACTACAAATTTGTTGCAGAAAGGTTTTACAGTGTTAGATTTAAATAGCTTTAAAAGACATTTTTAAGTAGGCACCAGGCTTTGTGTTTAGAAAACAACTTATTTTAAATTATGTAGAATATAGAAAGGCAGTGTATTATTTTGTTTCTTTCAATACTGGTGGCAAAATAAGACGTGCCTGGAAAATTGTAAAGCTACTGGGAATATGGTACCATTAACATGCTGTTTCCATGATAAACCCTATTTTCAGATGGTTTGGTTTGCCTATCAATGGGAGTCAATTTCCCCCCTCACGGTGTGCTGAATTCAACTTTTATACATAGTATAAAAGCCTTCTGATGCTCTCTTTTTTTAAAAGCCAATTTTAACTTGAACTTTGTCGGGGAAGAAAGTAATATTTTTAATCTCAAAGCCAGCCAGTGTCAAACATATGCAAAACAGCTGGACCAGATTTTTCAGTTTGTCTGGGGTAGTCACTTGTCAGCCTGAGTTTACATATTCGGTCCTTTTGTCTCCAGTGAGCACCGAAGCCTTCCTGTAGTTGCATCATTTCTGAAGTCTAGCATTTTACTAGGAAAGGAGACCACAGTGAAGAGTTGGTAGCCAATTAAGAAAAAAATTGCCTAAACCATAAACCATTTCAGGACCTGGATGGTTTCCAATCACTTTCCCTGATATCATGTTTCAATCTTGGTACACTTTTGTTTTTTTAAAATATGCCATGTTTTCAGTGTGTGTGTTTGGGTTCAACTTCAGCTACTCTAACTTTTATTGCTTTCTAATCCATCTATTGGCTGTGGGCCACATTTTATGTAATGTACATGCAGTTAATTGAAACCAGTGGTATGACACTGAGTATCTCTGACATTTCTGATTATAATATTCTGCGTATCTGGGGCCTGAGAGATAAGACTCAAAATGTGCTCATTACCTATGTCTTGGGCTGGACACGAGTCATATAGTTATTGAATACTTCACAGAATATACTAATTTCAAAATCTTGCAGGATTAACCTGCAGGAGCCAAAATAAGATAGGGACTGTATATAAGAACTCTACAGCTACATTACTAAAAGAAATTGCAATACTACCTGAAATTCGAGGCTTTTATCTTGAGGCCCTTACATTTGAAATGGGGGTCTTACAAGGGAAGTGCCAAACGAGGTAATGTTTATTTTGGTGACTCCTAAGATTTACATCTATATTTTAAACTGTTGGCAGATACCAAAAGAATTTGAAAAACAGTACTTGAGCTTCAATCCTGACTCAGAATTCCCTTAAACTTTTGGGGCTTAAATATTTTGGTTCACTTTGGTCATACCTTTTGACAATGGATATGTTAATTACGGTGACAAAAGAGCTTATTTGGAATCTGGTGATTAAAAGGCAGATAGACTCTAGACCAATTTTATTAAGTTTATCATGATTTGCTGTGTCACTACTGCATTACAGAATCAAGTTCCTGTTTAAATATAATAACACTTCCTTTGGTTACAGCTTGATTTGGGACCCCAATAACAGGTCAAATCAAAGAGCTTCTCACGGAAATCTTTCTCATGTCATGGATAGGCTAAAGTACATGCTGTAAGCACATCCTATAATGGACACGTAATAAATATTGTAAGGGTTATCATCAGTTTTATAAGTGAAGCAGATTCTTAAATTGCTTGCAAAAATCAGATAACATTTTCCAATAGAGATTTCTCTAAATCATTTTATATTAAGATGGTGATATTCTAAAGAGGCGTATTTTGGGGTGATAAAATCAAGTAACGTATTTTCTAAAAGGATCATTAGTACAGTAGTTGAATGGCACATTCATATAACTAATAATTCTAAAAGCAAAGTTGCACATTGATTATTCCTATACACTGGGTTTAATTGCAAAGCATTGACTTGCCCATTTTACACACGCAGTCTATTTTTTAAAATAAAATCGGCTTGCTTGAAGACAGTTTTTAAGTTTTAAAATGTATAATATGCATATTTCATATAAAGGTCTCAAGAAATTTCATTCACAGTACTGACTTTCAAAAGTTGTTCATAGGAATGCAATGATTAACATGAAAAGGAACCACTATCGCTGCTTTCAGGTAGGCCTGGGTTTCTTTTCTTTTTAAAAA